GGGACCTAAGCTTCGCAAAACAGCTATTTAAATAGCTGATCGGCGGTTTGCAAAGCGGCTTTCCTATGGCCAATCTTTGCTAGACAGCGACGATTCTTCCCCATTGGAATGCATTAAACAGGTTTCAATGCATTCCAATGGGGAAATGCTTTTCGCTAGACAATGATTTCGCTAAACAGCGATTTCAGTGGAACGGATTATCATCATCTAGCGAGGCACAACTGTAGTAAACAACTTCAGAGTACTCTCTATCTGAAAAACCCCAAAAAGAGTTGCTAAAAGTTGACTCGTCGGCCCACAATTATTATTATTAGCTTCTAGGTCTCAGCGTTCTAGCTGAAAACAAAGGAGACCTTTAAAGCCTAATGTTTGCCCTCCTTTTCTATAAAGTGGTTGAATATGAGAAACCAGTCTTTCCCGAAAAACAAGATTATCAGAGCACACACAATTATTAGAATTCTGCGACAATTCAGAAAAGGCTACTCTGAGGCCCACCTGGCCTGGCCTATACTTCACATGAAGTGAAAAGACAATGCAAAACATGCCAAATGTATATCCAGTTTCCCTACCAGATGTTCAGATGTGTTGAAGTTGGTGGAGCAGTAACCTGGCGGCAAATGATTTAAAGACTACTGATTTGCTGAACATGTTCCAAAAAAAAGAGTTCTTTGCCAAAACCGGCTAATGATTTTTTCTGTGAAAGACAAATAAAAAGATTACCCAACCAAGGTAATAAGTATTTGCTAGTACAGAAATGCAACACTGAATATGCTTGTGGTTTCAGAAATGGCAGGAGGGTTTTAATCTTGAATCTCTTGATTCCAGAGCTTAGAGGAGTTTCTTTTTAAGCTGCATGACCATATTGATACAGCATTGTGGGATGGGTAGAAGAAAAGAAGTTGCATGATTTCAAGACAATTTTAGATCACTTTTCCTGTTTACTTTTTGCCTTTCCTGTGGTGCTTCTCTCTGCTCTTCTTCCTCTCAGATTGCCAGCTTTGATGTGCCCATCAAGTTCGCCATCATCTCTTATGCCAGCCAGCCCAAAATCATTGTTGACATCCTTGACGATATAGCTGAAGATCCAGAATTGGTCCTGGAGCAGATTAAGAAAATGCGCTACAGAGGTACTATGAGTCTTCTGAGATACCTACCCACAGCAAGTTTGAAATTCAGGGCCTAGTGAATATTGTGGTCTTTTTTTTTTAATATTCCCCAAGAGACAGGAAGGGACGTGGTGGCGCTGCGGGTTAAACCACAGAAGCCTCTGTGCTGCAAGGTCAGAAGACCAGCAGTTGTAGGATCGAATCCACGCGACGGAGTGAGCCCCTGTCGCTTGTCCCAACTCCTGCCAACCTTGCAGTTCGAAAGCATGTAAATGTGAGTAGATAAATAGGTATCACCTCAGTGGGAAGGTAACGGCGTTGTGTCTAGTCGCGCTGGCCATGTAACCATGGAAGATTGTCTTCAGACAAAACGCTAGCTCTATGGGTTGGAAACGGAGATGAGCATCGCCCCCTAAAGTCGGACATGAATGGACAAATTGTCAAGGGGAACCTTTACCTAGTGGTCATGATTCTAATTTTACTCACGTTTACCTAAACATAAGCCTCATGTGGAAACTGTGTTTGGACAAATGCTTGCTCTATGGCTTGGAAACGGGGATGAGCACCGTGCCCTAGAGTCAGACACGACTGGACTAAATGTCAAGGGGAACCTTTACCTTTACCTTTAAGAGGCAGGAGGAAAGAGAGAGGTCATCATCACAGTCCTTAGCTCTTTTATTTCCCTTCCTCATAGGCTTTATAGGTCATTTGGACTGTCTCTTCTCAAATAGGGCCAGCTTTCCTAATTATAAGCCGGGTGAAAGGATGGTCCAAGAAGCAAACAAGTAATTTAAGCTTGCCTAAGTACTGATGAAGATCAATGAAATACCCAATACAAAATTTTGTGCATGTTGACTTAGGTTGGTTGTGAGAGCGCCATTTGCTGCCTCATCATGAGTAGGAACATGTCTTGGCTGCCCCAGACCTCAATTAATATTGCAAGTATGTGGTTGATTCTTTTCTTGTGGTAATACTGTGAATACCTCTTTCTTATGCATTATTTCCTTTCAAGAACTGTACACCTTTTCTAGGTTTTGGTAGCATAAGCTGAAGATGCTCCTGATTTCCCTCAGCAAAGAGTATGTAGAAAGTTTTTGTTCTGGCTTACCCTTGAAAGGCAGAAGCAGATTGGAGGAACCAAAAAGCATAAACAAGGAAAACTCAATAGCCATATTGCCTCCTTTTGCAGACCATGGCAATGCTACAGGAACCAACATTCATGCTGCGCTTGATGCTGTCTACAAGATGATGATTAGCGACCGAGCATCTTTCTCAGAGCAGTGGGACAAAGTCCGTCATGCTGTCATTCTCTTCACAGACGGTGAGGAGAACTGGGGAGGCAAAGAAATATTGGGTGGTGGGGAGAAGTTCACGGACCAGCCAGAGATGTGAGGTCCTCTGCCTGCTCAGTTAGGCGTCTGGGACTGTTGCAAGTAATGATTATAATGCTGGCAGGGAAGACTGTGGAACCCCCTGTCCCAAAAGATGCTCCTGACTTCCCTCAGCAAAGAGTATGTAGAAAGTTTTTGTTCTGGCTTACCCTTGAAAGGCAGAAGCAGATTGGAGGAACCAAAAAGCATAAACAAGGAAAACTCAATAGCCATATTGCCTCCTTTTGCAGACCATGGCAATGCTACAGGAACCAACATTCATGCTGCGCTTGATGCTGTCTACAAGATGATGATTAGCGACCGAGCATCTTTCTCAGAGCAGTGGGACAAAGTCCGTCATGCTGTCATTCTCTTCACAGACGGTGAGGAGAACTGGGGAGGCAAAGAAATATTGGGTGGTGGGGAGAAGTTCACGGACCAGCCAGAGATGTGAGGTCCTCTGCCTGCTCCGTTAGGCGTCTGGGACTGTTGCAAGTGATGGTTATAATGCTGGCAGGGAAGACTGTGGAACCCCCTGTCCCAAAAGCCCATTACTGTGCCTCTTTAAACCAGCAAGTGATGGAAGGGTGTGCCTTTGTCTAGAGGGGCGGAGTATAAATTCAGCTGTGCCCCTTTAAACCAGCAAGTGATGGAAGGGTATGCCTTTGTCTAGAGGGGCGGGGTATAAATTCAATACAGTGGTGCTTCGCTAGACGATAATCAGTTCCACTGAAATTTCTGTTTAGCGAAATCATTGTTTAGCGAAAAGCATTTCCCCATTGGAATGCATTGAAATTTGTTTAATGCATTCCAATGGGGAAGAATCGTCGTTGTCTAGCGAAGATCGGCCATAGGCAAGCCGCTTTGCGAACTGCTGATCAGCTGTTTAAGTTACTATCTTGCAAAGCTTAGGTCCCGAAACACCCATTTTGCGAGCGCAGAGGAAGCTGTCAAAATCGTCATCTAGCGAAAATCGGTTTGCGAAGCAGGGACCAAACATTGTCCAGCGAAATTCCCCCATAGGAATCACTGTTTTGCGAATCGCTATAGTGATCGCAAAAAGTCAATGTCTAGCGAAAAAACTGTCATGCGGGGTAACTGTCTAGCAAGGCACCACTGTAAAAGTAAAAGTATGCCAAGAGGGCTTCTACCCAGGGTAGAACTTGGCAACAAGCATATGGGACAAGTGAACTGGAGCTTGGGAAAAATCATAGATTTGAGTTCTGCTTTGCTGGTGGGAAAAGTGGCTGCACTGAGAGTTGTTGTTTTTATTTATTTACATTTCTGTCCTGCCCAACGAGTACCTAGGCTACTACTGCGGGCAGCTCACAGAAGGTCAACACAGTCATAAACAATAATGATAAAAACAAGAAAATGAAAGTGGAGAAAAAGGGATTCTAGAGATAGCTACAGGAACCACAAAAGTAAAAAAAGGTAAATTAATGACAGACTGGCAGCAGGAGGGATACATAAAATTACTTGATTAGGAGCAAACTATTGAAAGGCTTGGGTAAAAGAACCAAGTCTTCAGTTCCCTCCTAAAATCCAGGAGGGATGGGGCCAGTCACACCTCTGGTGGAAAGGGGGTTCCAGAGAGATGTGGCCACCACAGAGAAGGACCAGTTTCAAGTGACCGATATCCAGGCCTTCCTTGGGGTGTCTATTTGGAGCCTCCCAAAATGAGAGGTGTGGGTGGAATGGGTAGATGTTTTGAGAGAGAGTTGGTCAACCAGGTTAAAAGGCTCTAAATCATTAAGGGCTTTAAAAGTGAACACAACATTTTTGAGCTCTAGTGGATAGTAGTAGCCCTCCAGATGTTTCTGGTCTACAATTTTCAAGAGCTGACATCACTCTCTCTATATATACTCGAGTATAAGCCTAGTTTTTCAGCACAGTTTTTTTTTGCTGAAAAAGCACCCCCCTCGGCTTATACTCGAGTCAGTGTCAAAATTACATGCTGGGTTAAGTACACTGCATTTCCTCTTCCAGGACACTCCCATTTACAGGCACCTGCAGCCTCTATGGGTGGTCCGATGACCTGGGTTAAGTACACTGCATTTCCTCTTCCAGGACACTCCCATTCTCCTTCTTCTGCATATTCTATGTACCCACCTTCCTCTTCCCACCTTCCTCCTCCATCCTCCATCTCCCTCCATCTTGTTACGCAGCAGTAGAGCAGTGGATAAGCACAGCATCTGGTGTGAGTCTTCCCTCTGCAGGCACTGAAGTGTGTCTCGCAGCTCAAAAGGGCAGTATCTTTAAAAACATTTAACCTACTGATGCCTCAATTAAAGTAATTTTATTGGTATCTATTTTTATTTTTGAAATTTACCAGTAGCTGCTGCATTTTCCACCCTCGGCTTATACTCTAATCAATAAGTTTCCCTAGTTTTTTATGGTAAAATTGGGTGCCTTGGCTTATATTCGGGTTGGCTTATACTTGTGTGTGTGTGTGTGTGTGTGTTTGTGTGTGTACACGTACACACACACGTGCGTGCACACACGGCATTTTGAAGGCACGCACGCGCACACACACATGGCATTTTGAAGCCTCCCATAACTGAACACTAATTTTAATTCTTTAATGCTGCCCAGAGTACACACACACGTGCGTGCACACACGGCATTTTGAAGCCTCCCATAACTGAAACTAATTTTAATTCTTTAATGCTGCCCAGAAAGAGGGACGTTTCTCCTACTCATTTTTAATATATATATTGATTCAGTTTGGACATGCAGGTGCCTTTATCAGTTTCCCTTAGTAGTGTGCTAGTGTGTAGCTTGGGGAAATACAACCTGGCTTTTTCCTTCACCCTCTAAATAATTTTATTTTATTTTATTATTATTTTTTTTTAGGGAAATCCAACATGAAAGGTTCTCCCAAAATGGCAGTGAAACAAATTGAAGACTTGGTGAATGTGAGAGAAAACAGGACTGACTATTTGGGTGAGGTTCACGTAAAACTACTTTTCTTTATGGATTTTTTTTAAGAGGTCTTAGACGCTTTAAGAAATCAATTCTTCTGAGAGGAACTTGGTGCTCTTTGAGTAGGGTTGCCAGATACATGGGTACCCAAAGGAGGCCATAGAAAGACAAAAAAGAGGGCAGAGGAGGACCTATTGAATGTTTCATTTGAATCGTTCCAGATTAAACCCACATTCAATACAATTTTATTACAATAGCTGCCAATAAATGTCTCTTAGTGAACTGACCAAGAAACAGTCATGTTAAAAAATAAAAATAAATTCAATGGAGACTTTTTTCATAATACCAAAAAAAATTATTTAAACAGCCAATTGTACCTGAACCCATCCCGGCCCAGCTGTGTGATTCCCCTGGCTGCTCCCACTCTGCACAGGCTCAGAGGCAACCTTGCTAATCTGGATGCCCAAACAACGCTCTGGTGCAGGCAGGGGGAAAGCGGCACCGGGCAAAGCCGAATAAGGCAGCCTCTCCTCCTCCACCCTCTACTGAGGGTTATAGGTTCAAGGCTGGGGAGTGTGGGAGTTGGAGTCCCCGAAAGGGACTTTGAACACACACAGTCCGGGCGCTATCAATGCGCTCGGGCGCTGCTTGCTCCTGCCTGGCTCGGCGGGCGGCGCTCCGCTCACACTGCCTTTCTGGACTCCATGTGGCCTGGACGGGCATGGCAGATCACCGAGCAGCCCTTGCTGCAGCGGGAGGGGGCGAGGGCTGCGCTCCGGCACCAGCGGCAGGTAACAGGGGGCAGGGAAAGACAGGGGGAGGGGGGCCTTCCACCTCTCCCCCTCCCACCCAAAATTATAACATAAAATATACAAAAGCCAGACATTTTAAAAGTTTTTATCTTTGCCTACTGGACGGAGGACATTAGGCTAAATAGGAGGACATGTCCTCTTTTTGCCAGATGTCTGGCAACCCTAAGCCAGACCCACTACCCCTTTCCTTCTTCCCGCCATACACATCCTTGCCAAGTCAGCCCCATTCTTTCCCTACAAATAGGGGGAAATGAACCAAAAGGACCAGAAGGAAGCATCTGCTTTTGTGATAAATGAAAGGAATTGTGCATGAAAGAACAGAAAATGAAAGAGGCATCCCACTAAATGAAATGAAAATGAAATAAAAACATATCTCAATCAACAGGACATGTACAGGGGGAACATCCCCCAAAAGTGAGCACCTCTTGTCTCTTCTGAATAATTTTCTTATTGTGCTTTTCCAGTTTAGTGCCATGTCAGACAAACACTGGAGTTCCACAAGTTGTTATTTCAATGCTATGTCACTTGCCAAACCTTTTCCCCCAAAAAGACTCCGCACTATCAACCTCATCCTAGAACGCATCCACCATTGCTCCTTTGAACTGATATCAGCAATCAGTCACATATGGCAGAAACTGATAAAACTGATGTGAGCAGAATTGCTACAAAATCAAAGAAACCCACTGGCCCATGAGAGCTTGCAAATAGCTCATTACAAAGGAAAAGCTATTTATACAGTGGGGTCTCTGCTTAAGAACGTCTCTACTTAAGAACAATCCAACTTAAGAACAGTTCCATTTGCTAAATTTTGTTTCTACTTGAGAACAGAAATCCGAGATAAGAACAGGAAAAAAAAACCTTTCCTGCTCTTTTTTTAACCTTAGGTCAT